ATCTTGCAGAATGATCGAAAGTCTAGAGCGCAGCGTGTGTAGTGGTAATTTAGAAATATCTATTCCATCAATGACAATCTTCCCTGTTAAAAGGAAATAAAAAGTACAGAGTACATTAAAAACACAAGTAAATAGCATTTATTTACGAATATGAAATATTTCCCTAGTTTAAGTTAGGATTCTGAAGATTTCCATTTATGTATGGTTCAATGTCTCTAAGGAAAATGCACATTTTGGTGATAGTTTATCTTTCTTATTTATTTTGTCCCAAAGACATGAACAGTTTTCATTCAGTTTATGTATCACCTGCCACCAAAATCAAACCTTTTCCTCCCACTGGGTCCTCTTCCTGCTAGCATCCCTTTATTGGCCTTCTCTGCTGTCTTGTTCTGCATAGGATCTAGCACATCTGACATTCCACATGTACTTTTTCCGCCCCCCCACCCCCACCCCGCTCCAGCAATAGGATATAAGATGGGGACTTTTTAGACTTATTCTGCTGTACTAATTAAATGATACAGTGTACCAAAACTATGAAAGTGAATTCAATAAAATAGAAACAAAACATTCTCCATACTCTCTGTAGGTTTACAGGACTTCAGTAGTCCTGATGTCCTTTCCCGAATGTGGAGACTCACTTGACCATGTCACTGTGGTGCACACATCACATTGCTCGTTAAAATGAATTTGCTTAGTTTGGAAGGGCAAATCTGCCCCATTTGACAACTAGATTTGGGTTCCAGTAAGTAAGAAGGATTCATTTAAGCTCTCTCTTTCAAGAAAACATATCAAAATGTTAATATCCTAATGCTACTGAAATGATAATAACTCACACTGGGCTTGCAAACATGTTTCTGGACACATGAAAGTAAGCACAGTCTAGTTTGCTCAGTCAGAGTCACAGATATTAAATGGAATGTGTCCGCTTAGAGCATGTCATGGTTGCAAACACAAATCCCACTGGAAATCCTTAAAATATCTCGGTATTATTGCTAGCCAGAGGATTACAATGACCATAGTTCAACGTTGTTGTTTATAAACTGACCTCTTTATCTCACAGAGCTGTTGTGTAGATTAAATTGCATAATATAAACTGTCAAGTACAATAAAAATGTGAAGTACTATGACCCCCCATCAAAATCATTACAGCTAATAATAGTAAGCACATCTTTGATGTATTTGGTGGCCCAATGCACCACTGGATCCCCTTTCCCTCAAGACTGCTTATGAACTGATCTATTTATAAGACACTTGATAGAGTAGGTAATGTGATGTATTTTTCTAGAACAAAGATCCATTATTTCAATGTTTTTATATATCTGACATATTAATGTTATGAATGAATAAAATTTATTTTGTACATTAACTGATGTATGGCTCTTTACACCAAAAGTTGCCTCTTTGCATAATGTTCAACTTCTTATGCCGTATTATTAAGAGGGTGACAGTAGGAGTCCTGTACTAAAATGAAACTTTCATATTATCTATTTTTTTGCAATTGTTTCTTCGATGGAAAAAGATCTCATTTTAGTGGAGGGATATAAGACCACCTGGGAACCCCTCTTTTTTCTTTGGGGCACTGCGCCTACCTCCTGCTCTTCGACGTGGGTGGCCTTGTTTGCATTTCATCACTTCATTAGTAATCCACAGCAACCATTTCTAGAGCTGAGTTTCGGCTCAGAGTTTTATTCCCTCAATTCTATGTTCTATCTTTACTTCTAGGCTGTCTGTTTGTGACACCTGCCTCAAACCGTAGGATGCAAGGAGCAGACTTCTTTATAAATATTTGCTTTTTATTTGGCTGGAATTGAGCAAATCAGTGTTGTGTTTTGTTAAGTCAAAGTACCACCTGGCCCACTCAGAATTAAGCAACTTACCGTCAAATATATC